GAAGCACGATGTAGACAGAATCTCGACTTACGCCCCAGCATCGGCCACGGCAGCGAGTCCGTAAATCAGTCCCGGACGAGTTTCTCCATGTTCTGTTTCGCGGCGAGATACGCCACTCGATCTTAAAAGCGTACTTTGCTCGTGATTCTGCGATATATAGTTGCGTGTATTCGTTATTGAACATTGTGTAGATGGCTCATGGAATCTATTATTTTGATGATCATTTTCCGAGATTAATTTCCAATGTGATGATTCCTTTATCGTCAGAGCAATTTGAAATTTGGAAATGTAGAACGTTCCTCGGCAGATTTGTAGAAGCGTCACGAAACGCCACAGCGGATGTCGGCACATCAATGAACGATCGTCTTGCGTCTGCGTCCTTCGGTCTGGTTTCGGCAAAGGCTTATACCTATAACGCCGTTAGCAGATAGTAGACAAGATCTGGCTTCAACTTGGTAAGGTGAATCTTCATTTTCGACGCTGCCAGCCGCCACGCACGGAGCTGGTTCCTTGGTAATTATTAGTCCATCAGCATCTCTCGATGGCCACATGGCCGTGTGAGAGCCGAGCTGGTCCCAACGCGGACCATCCTCGCTACGCGAGACCGCCCTGTCATTATCCGCCCCCGTGAGGCCCGTAAGGGCCTCCATTTCCCTTTCAACCCCGTCTCTGCCAATCAACGATCCATCATCGAGAGATCGGATATCGGCTACGTCGATCTATCGCGCCATCGAGAACGACGTCACGATCAGTAGTCAATCGACGCTAATCATTTTTCAACGACGCCGAATATCCATATATTAGTGTCGAATTAAACGCTGTCTATTCTCCAAAAGTATCGGGACGCACGATTCATCTTCATGGTCCAAGGGGGGGAGGGTTCACGTTTACGCGTGCGGACGCAATAAATCTAGAGAAACGCTCTCGTGCGGGAATCTGAAAACGAGGAAACTCGATAGCTACTAGCAACTGCTTCTACGCGCGCGGCCCAACGCCATTTGTCCTTGCCGCGAGCGTTAACGCCCGTCTTTGGTTCTGTTCATTGTAAAACATCCCTTTTCGCACTCCCCCCCCCTTCCTCCCCTCCGCGCCCATCGCCGTCCTACTCCGTGATACGCAAGGGCGTGGGCGGGTCGCACCTTTTGTGCGCCAGTGGCACGCGATGTACGCATAATCGCCGTCAGGATTCGTAGCGGGTGGCGACTGATAACGTCCCCTCGTTCTGTGAACCTATTCCTTTCTCACCTTACGTCCATCTATCGATTACTCGGAGCGTCTATTTCGAGAGTACCATCTAATGTAAATATTATCTGGATTATGGGATATGATGGTACGAAATCACGTTGACCGCAGATGGTTCTAACACAAAATATTGGGTTGTCCGCAAAGCCGACTAACCTATATCATTTAACAAATGTATACTAAAATTTAAATCTTCTGCGTTTCAATTTTCCTTCAATATCGGCACGAACTTTCCGGACAACCCAATACACCGAGAATCGTGAAAAAATCAGATAGAACTGCGCAGTAATGTAATTATATCAGACAAATTTACGTTATTTGTGATTTAGAAAAAAAAAACAAATCAAGTATATTTAAATTGGAGCATGGAAGGAACGATTTTGTTGAAAGATCTAAAATTTTGCTGCATATAGATTTGACAATAATTGTGTAGACTACTAAAATAATTTTTGTTGGAAACTTAAACTGATTGCTAGAATATCAAAATTTGTATAACATTGCTTATTATTTTTTAGTTTCCAACACAATTATTTTAATGTCCGACAAAATTATTTTCAGATCTACAATATATCCAGCAAAATTTTAGATCTCTCAGCAAAATCATGAAGAAAGTATAATAGAAACTATTGTGTACGTATTTCTATTTTATCGGGCGTCAAATATTTCGTTGGTAGGATCAAAAGTTACTTCGTGATTTTAGCTTTACGAGATGTTCGACGAAAATACATCGAGTCATAATACATCATCAAACTTGACGGTATTCTCTTTGAACAGATTTTGCGACCATCTTGTCACCGAACTCCATGAGATATTACATCTAAATTACCCAGGCCAATCTCGAATGCGACGAAGGCGATCGCTCGCGCGCCCGGCTGGTCGAGAATGGTTATGAATGGACCACGATTAGCTGGTCGCCTCGCCGTAGTGGCGCCGTACCACGCTACGGACTTCTTCTTCCATTATGGAAAATTAGATCCTAATGCGACCTCGACCCGTCGCTCGCGTCTTCACCGGCCATTGGCGTAGGAAGGTAAAGCACAAACGCGCTTCCATGCAGCGGAGAAAAACTGCGGCGTGCTCTAAAACTGCATACCTACTTAAAAATAATATTCAGGAAACTTAAATTTCGTAATTCACATAAACAAACTCGGCGAATCGTTTTTTAGTGGTAGAATTAAATTGTCGTTTTGTACATTTGATCCGTTGCGTTAAATTTTAAGAGAAATCCGGCTCTCCAAATTACGCCAATTATGAAATTCTTAGCAACCGGTTGGCCTCTCGCGATGCGGTTTTATAGGCATGGTTTAATCACAGCCACGACGCAAACCGCTATAAAAGCGACTCGTATCATTCGCCATGTGACGAAAAAAATTTGCGGTAGCCTAATGACAACTCTCGTCTTAATTCTCGAATCGTTGACGCAAGATGTGCCCAGCTTTTATTTTTCTTAGATAATTCTTAATCAGATCTTACGAAAATGTTAGTCTCCAACTTTTCTATATATTTATCGAGTCCCCGCAGCAATTTATCTCTTCAAAAATTATAAAAATGTTCCGTTCGAATGAATACGCCACTGAAAATATACTTCTTCGAATGTGTTCCGTTTTATAAGACGGAGCCGATAACATTTGAAATTCAAACCGCACGATTAAAGTCGCATTAGCTTCTTGCGCGTGTTCACAAGGTTCTCCTTGCACAACTTTGATATTTGCGATTTTAACAGTCGCCGTTCTCGAACTTGCATCGCCTATCTGCGTCATGCATGCAGCTTGTTTCGCAAAACCAAAAAAGCACGAGTAAATTATGAGTTCGTATCTTCTTTTTTGCATATAATAATTGACGTTCAACATAGAGGTACGATTAAGCAGGTGTCGAGATGGATGTTATTGCGAGAAAGTTCTTAAATCTTGATTCGTGATGAGAAAAATATATGACGACGTTTAATTCAATCAGTTATTAAATATAGTCACATTTTATCTGCAAATGTATTCAATGTATTCATTAATTCATTCTTGCTAATAGATTTTATATATTTACTTTTTCATTTTAATGATGCGATACGTAATATACAAATATTGATATATTTTTTTAATGCAATCTGCGATATGGTAATTAATAAGTTATTTGCTAACTATACTTAATATTATTATTAATACTTAATATTATTATTATTATTACTATTATTATATATGACATTATCGTTGACTGTATCGTAGATCAAATATTAGTATCGATTTCTCTGCTGCACATAGCTGTTGTAATGTAGAGCGAGAAATTACGCGAGTTTGAAACCAATTTGTAAAATTATGTCGTAACAAGTTAACGCGTGAATGCACATATAACGAATGATATATCAAGTGCTGTAAATTAAATTTATCATATCATGCAAAAAAATAGGTCATAATATATTTTATCTTATTAACTTTTTCAAAAGCATAAATAGATATAAAATATCATATTTCCATTCGATGATACCCGAGATGATATCACAACAACAATACTATAATTCGACTATAATTCGATAAATGACATACATTTGTGTTTCCACAAATACATGTATAAAATTCTATTCGAAGTATATATAAAGATTATATGAAAATATATAAAATCATGTACGATTTAAACAGAACGGAATACATAAGCTATACTATTATAAATTATATAGAATTATGTAACCACAAGGGATACTATCGCAGTTGACAAAAAATCTTTATCTTAAGCTAGAAAATTCAATCTTATATTTTACTTAATTGCATCAGCGACTTAATGTCCATTAAGAGTACGATTGTAGGAAAGAGAATGGTACAACATAATTTGCATGTAATTTCCTGAATGCGCAATGCATTAAGAATAATCTTGAATGATAATTTCTGAACAAATAGACTGGAAAATTTAAAAAGCGATTACGAAACTATAAATCATCAAATACAATCGCTATTGCGTGGCGAGTCTAATGTATCTCTATCCCCAAAATATATCCAGGCAAAATGTATCCAGATATCTTCGTTCATCCCCTTTACTTCTTAATTCGAGACACGCACACGAGCGAACAGCGCGGAAAAGACCTGATTAATCGATTACCCTCGATTTCAATCGTCGCGTGTATCTTGGGCTTGACGAAGATTGGGAAGACTCGACGTTACATCTGATTCTCCGTCGCGCGTATAGGCATTTAAATAACGACAGGGCGCGTAGTATACCGTTATGTCAAACTATGAGCTCGCGAGCTCGTGAAACGATACGACTCGGAGTCACGTAAAACGGTGAAAGGGGAAGCGAGAGAGCAAGCGGGGAGGAAGGAAGGAGTCGAAGCGAGAGGCTCTTCTCGCTTCTATACGTCGAGAGGGCACCACCAAAGTCGCCGCGCGTGCCTCCTTCCAGCGACTATGAGCTGCGCGCGCATTTCACGGCTGAATTATCGGGGGGAGGCCGCGGAAGGGATCGTGAGCGCGACAGAGAAGCTGAAGAAGCGGAGAGGTGGGACCGAGACAGCGTACGGCGGCGAGGATGCCCTGTGAGGTGGGTATGGAAGTGGGGGTGAAGCTCGCGGATCGCGGGAGAGGAGGTGAACGAAGTCGAGGAAACCAGGCAGAGCACGTAGGCGGTGATGGGCGGTGACGGATTCTGGTGGGGCCCCGCCTCGCGGACCCGACCCCTTTTTTGCCCGGGGGCCGTTGAGTCCTGGATGTTTCCCTACCACCTAATATCCCCGCGTCTGGTTGAGACCAAGTCGTTCGGACAGTCGGCAGTCTGTCACGGGGCGAAGAACGGGAACCACGGTAATCCTGGCCTTTTCCACGGAGAGCCTTTTTTTTTATCCGAGCGACGATCAGTCGCGAGGACGACACCGGAACGCGTTCGATACGTGAGTCTGAGACACGTTCGCATCGTCGTTCGATCCCGTGATCTCGAGTGCAGTGCGTAAACGTAAGCAGCTGGACAGAACAAAACGACTCGGAGGCGTGAGAGGGACTTTCTTACTGTCTGGTGTGACTTTAATTCCGCGGTGCGCGAATCACCAACGCGCGGGTCACCAATTACGACAACTCCGGGTCGGCGTCGAGATGCTGACCGATATGACACCGGCGGCGGCTGGTCAACTCTACCCCCAGCTACAATCTATCGCGAAGTCGCCGGTGCACGGGCACGTGGTGAGTCTCCGTCTAAAGTCTTTCGTCTTCCTCTCTTTTCCTTTCTTTCAATGTTGTGTGGGTCATATTATCGTACCACCCGATCGCTCGATTTTCCATCAAAATCCGCTGCTGCGACGTGTCTTGATGTGTGACGAAATTTGTATCTATCATCATCATGACTCGTGGAAAAAGATCTTTGACATTAGTGAAAGGAACCCCCGTCGCGACGAGTTAATTTTTCGGTCGAGTTAGATCTACGATCTCTTCCGAGCAAAAGCGAGTTCTCGAGTTTCATTGGGACGTTAATCCCGGACTGAGATCTTTACCCCAGCAGGTAGAGCACGATGCCAAAGATTAGCTGCTACCGTCAAATCCTTCACACCTTCGATAAGATCGCTGAGATTTCCTCAAAGGTGTACTTTAACAACTGCTTTGGTCGCCGATCACTGCTATGGTCATCTCAGGCGTCATCTTTGATCTCCGACGTCAATTTGCTGGTAGACTTTGTCTTCGAATATATTACGAAGGAAAAACGTTTCATGCACGAGTTATATTTGAAGTTGAAGGAAAAACAGTAAATTAAATAGTTAAAGTTGATAAACATTCCATGTAATTTACGGATGGATGCTGCGTAACTAGACATTAGCAAATTACTTTGCTATTATTTATAATTGCTACAATAAGATTCGATTATCTATATACAAAAATTATGCTTTATTTAATATATAATCATATATTATGAGGTTTTTATTCCAACGTGCAGGAGTGATAAATGAGAAGGTTGGTTATTATCTATACATAACAGGTATATATTTAGTTATTCATGATACATCTGGAACATTAGAATGAATATAGCAATCAATATTCTATAAACCGTATCATTTATTTATATAATATATCAATTGAATAATCAAGATAAGAAAACAAATCGTAATCGAAATATTATGATGTATTACGTTATAAAATAATTTATCATTAATACATCAGCTTTCAAACTTTTTATCAAATAATTGAGCGATCGAATAAAATTTATTTGTGCAATTAGTTTTAATAATGTCGACATCAATATGAATAAAAGAAGACATGCGACAACGTTTCATTCATTGTTATTACGTAATAATAATTCTTACATTATTTAATGATTAAGGAAAGGCAAAGTTAAGGAAAGGCAAAAACAGAAACGCATTGAAATATCAACTATTTGCATAAATTGTAAATTAGCAAATGCTTGATATGAGCGCGGTAACCTTTAACGTGTTTTATGAAGCCTAAGTGATCAATGTTGAATGTGTCAACGTTGAGAAAGGAGTAATTTAATATTACGCAACGTCATATCGTGCGATTGCAAGAGTTTTGCAATGTATGCTAAGATCTTGATCGAGGATTAAACGACAGAGATTAAACAATTCTTTACAAATTCAAGGAACCGCCTACGCGGAGAAACAAATAGCCGTAACTTTTTATACATATGTTAAATATCAATAATCTTTTTTTCGGTGATCATTATCAATCAATATTAGACTTTATCTTAAATAAAGATAAAACGATTTATCGTGCTGAAAATATATATGAGTACCCATATGGAATTTGTGAAGTCGCCTTTCGGCATGTAACGGAGCGACACGTTGCAAGTTGCGTTACGGATCAGATGCGAAATATCGGAGATAATCTGACGATGATAAACTCAAAGTATTCTTCAGCTTTCGCGACCGTGGCCGGACAACATGTGCTCCGCTCGTTGCTCGAAGCTCTTTATTTTATGACTCGGCAGGAAGGACGACGGCGGTCGTCGTGCGGGCCCTGCAAGATGATTTACGAGTCGACGTAAAAAAGTAATTAAATCCCTGCCGTCAAAAAGGAAGGCGTGCGCGCGAGCGCGAGTATTAATTAAGTCAGGCAGAAAGTTTCCTGTGTGCCGCGTTGAGTATTAATGTCGGCGAAAAGTCGCATATCTGTCGATGAACATTGCGCGGGCGCTCGAAATCGTCCTTCAGACTGATCCAACTTCCGGTCTGGCTTTTTGCGACCTCTCGTTACCTCGCACGGTTCTCCATCCTTGATTCGCTATTTGTTTTTCGATATCCGCGCTTCCCCCGTCTCCATAATGGCGAACCTGTTTTCGCGTGATTCTCGTAGCTTGCCATCGCGTCATCGTTTGAGTCTTTTTTGCAAGCGGCCCGTTTTTTGCATCTCTACGAGATTATTCATAGCATCGACGATCCAGATCATTCTATAACTCGCGCTTGTGAATAACCGTAAATTCCAGATGAAGGAAATTACAACGCAAAAGAATTCGAATAAATTCGTTTCAGGGAATCGAATAGATTTTCATATACTGCATATACAAAAATATGTATTGAGTATTAGAAGCATTCACAACCAATTTTTTGTTAGAAAGTAATGGTTTCCTATCGCGCGCGAGAATCCTTTCAGAATTTTTCCAGCTTCTCATCGAGAGGAAAAATCATATACCAGGTTTCATCTAAATCGGAGATGTCCCGTTTTCCAAACTACGGCCACGTTCCTTTGCCAGTGTCGAGCTACTCGATCCGAATGTATCGAGTGTCCCTCGCACAATGGTCCTTGCGCAAGGTTCTCAGGACTCAAAAGAACTACCCTACCTGTGTATCCGAGGAGCCAATTATTTGTCCGATCTCCTTTGTGCGCCGAAGGAATCCACTTGACAGGATGCGTGGGATGGAAACGCGATGCCTACTTCCTTTCGCCACCCGATCTCGCCAATAGTATCTACTCTCCTCCGTAAGGGTCTTGTCTCTTTGTTTCTTTCTCTTCATCCTGTCTTTCTCTCATGTCGTCAATGGAGGTCCTTAAAGGGCCATGAAACTCCTCGATAGTGCATCGGTGAATGGAACGCGACCTCTGCGTTACGCGTCGATTAATACGCTCGACTTAGCGCGACGAGAGGAATAGAAGCGAACCTCATCGCGTTGTCGTGCGACATTAACTCGTCGTTTACACGCATACGCACGTTCTCCCTCTTTTTCCTCAGGGTCGATTGGATGAGAATGTCAACAACCCTAGTTTCGACGCGCGACGTTTCGATCGTAAACTTTCAACTTTTTTCAAGCAACGCAATACATCTCGAACGTTGCATTACGTTCTTTACTATCGACGGTAAAATTTTTACATTGTTATGTAATTAAATTTTCACGATCGGAAAAAAATCTTCAAATAAATCTATATAGCTATGATATTTATCTGAATAAAAGGGAAGAGGAAAACGATACATAATGTATGTGTTTAGGAATATAAAGATATGTTACTTTCTTACTGCTCCAATGTCATGCATAATAAACGTGACACACGCAAAACGGCACACGCTGAACCTTCGTCACGTTGAAGCTATACATGAAACTACCTACAAAACTTGGAGAGAATTTTCTTGGTAAAGTTATATATCGGCACGCTATATTGAAAAGACGTGAATCCGAGGGAAACCAGCAAACGTGTCACGCTATGAACGACTCAGCGCGATGCAGCAGCATTGTCTTTCTAGCGATCGATTCCGGTGAGTCATTAATAAATTAATACTTCGACCGATGAAGCCTGGAATATCCCTGGAACCGAGGAGTTACTAATTCACGAACGACTCCGCCGCGCCCCGTCGCTCTCTTCGTTGACACAATATCTTTATTTCCAACGGACTACGCTACTTCCGCCTCCTCTCTCTCTTTCTCTTTCTCTCCGTAATCTCATATTAAATATTTTAAAAATTCTGTTCGAGAATACAAACTTGTAATACTGACGCATACATGTACGCGCGCGAGCACGCGCACGCACACGCGCGCACACACACACACACACACACACACACACACACACACACACACACACACACACACACACACACACACACACACACATATACATGCGTACAAGTATAGGAAATGATTACAAAATCTTCATTTAAATTATATTTTCTGAAGTAGATGACCTGTTATGTGTATTATACCGCTGAGGATCGTGACACGAGAATGAGACAAAATCGGAAGAGAATATCGCATATATGTTCTTGTGACAGAACTAACATCCTCGAGCACTTTTATATGCGACTCTACTCGTGTCCGCCAATAGCGAATGTAGTTGACACCTGTCAATATTTTGCACGATGTCATCCGCGCTGTGCTCTCGAGTACCCTCTCGAGGGCTCTCCTACTTCCACATCGGTAATCCGATAATCCGATTCCTCTGGTAAAGGTGTCCTTTTAAGCGACGTCCCGTTGACATTTTCAAGAGCAACAATGGACTGCGAACGGCCGCTGCGGAGTGCAATGTTCGTCGTGCAGAAAACTGCGTCCTCTGTCACGCCGGGAACGCGGACGAGGGTTGCGGAGGGAGGTGCGTGAGCACCTTTTTACGTGACCTAAGAGGATTTACCTGAAGCACCGGATGCCATACGAGGATGTCGTCCTAATTTGTACTATTTGAGAGCAAAAGATGGAGAGAGAAAGGGATCACAGAAGAAGAAGAAGAAGAAGAGAGAGAGAGAGAGAGAGAGAGAGAGAGAAGAGGGAAACGTATTTCCTTAAACGACCGCAACATCTCTTGCGAAACATGCGATACACACAGTCTTTCGTTGGCCACGAAGCCCTTCTAAATCTTAAGGGTCCGAAGCATCCGAATTTCGCTTCACATTCCAGAGAATAGATCTTTTGGCGTTGCAAGAAAGAATTCAATAGAAACGTGCGGTTCAAAATTTGGTTAATAAAGATCTTTTCTCTCTCTCTCTCTCTCTTTCTCTCTCTCTCTCTCTCTCTCTCTCTCTCTCTCTCTCTCTTATAAAGTGTTTGCCAAGTACTGAACTGAAGAAACCAAAGACTGAAAGCTTTATTTTTTCTTTGTTTTCTTATTTTTTAATTATGTTTTATACACAAAAAGAACGATTTTGCTAAAGTATCTAAAAATTTATCTATAAATATATATTTGAAAATAACTATACGGAAAGAACAATTTTATTGAAGTATTTAAAAATTTAGCTATATATAGATCTGAAAATA